TTCCTTATGGTTTCAGCCAGTTTGAGTTTGTTGAAACAGAAGCAACATTCAAGGGCCTATCAGCTGTCCCATCACCTTCTGAGAAAATGGTGTGACATACCCACTGCCCCTTCAGAGGTGACTTCATAGGTCAGTAAGAACCTGTTATATGAGTTTCCTAGGGCTGCTGTAACAAAGGATCACAAACTGGGTGGCTTAAAAAAAAACCAGAAATTTCTCCTCTCACGGTTTTGGAGGCTGGAAGTCTGAAATCAAGATTTCAGCAGGGCCGTGCTCTCTCTGAAGTCTCCAGGGGGAAATTTGTTGTCTGCCTTTTCCTGGTTTCTTGTTTGTTTGTTTTTTAACATCTTTATTGGAGTATAATTGCTTTACAATGGTGTGTTAGTTTCTGCTTTATAAAAAAGTGAATCAGCTATACATATATATACATCCCCATATCTCCTCCCTCTTGCGTCTCCCTCTCTCCCACCCTCCCTATTCCACCCCTCTACGTGGTCACAAAGCACTGAGCTGATCTCTGTGTGCTATGCGGCTGCTTCCCACTAGCTATCTATTTTACATTGTATATATGTCCATGCTACTCTCTCACTTCGTCTCAGCTTACCCTTCCCCCTCCCCGTGTCCTCAAGTCCATTCTCTACAACTGCGTCTTTATTCCTATCCTGCCCCTAGGTTCTTCAGAACCACTTTTTTTTTTTTTTTTTAGATTTCCATACAGAATTTGTTTTTCTCTTTCTAACTTACTTCACTTTGTATGACAGACTCTAGGTCCATCCACCTCACTATAAATAACTCAATTTCGTTTATTTTTATGACTAATATTCCATTGTATATATGTGCCACATCTTCTTTATCCATTCCTCTGTCGATGGACACTTAGGTTGCTTCCATGTCCTGGCTATCGTAAATAGTGCTGCAGTGAGCATTGTGGTACATGACTCTTTTTGAATTACGGTTTTCTCAGGGTATATGCCCAGTAGTGGGATTCCTGGGTCATATGGTAGTTCTAGTTTTAGTTTTTTAAGGAACCTCCATACTCTTCTCCATAGTGGCTGTATCAATTTACATCCCCACCAACAGTGCAAGAGGGTTCCCTTTTCTCCACACCCTCTCCAGCATTTATTGTTTCTAGATTTTTTGATGATGGCCATTTTGACTGGTGTAAGGTGATACCTCATTGTAGTTTTGATTTGCATTTTTCTAATGATTAGTGATGTTGAGCATTCTTTCATGTGTTTGTTGGCAATCTATACATCTTCTTTGGAGAAATGTCTATTTAGGTCTTCTGCTCATTTTTGGATTGGGTTGTTTGCTTTTTGATGTTGAGCTGCATGAGCTGCTTGTAAATTTTTGAGGTTAATCCTTTGTCAGCTGCTTCACTGGCAAATATTTTCTCCCATTCAGAGGGTTGTCTTTTTGTCTTGTTTATGTTTTCCTTAGCTGTGGAAAAGCTTTTAAATTTCATTAAGTCCCTTTTGTTTATTTTTGTTTTTATTTCCATTTCTCTAGGAGATGGGTCAAAAAGGATCTTGCTGTGATTTATGTCATAGAGTGTTCTGCCTATGTTTTCCTCTAAGAGTTCTATAGTGTCTCACCTTTCATTTAGGTCTTTAATCCATTTTGAGTTTATTTTTGTGTATGGTGTTAGGAAGTGTTCTAATTTCATTCTTTTACATGTAGCTGTCCAGTTTTCCCAGCACCACTTATTGAAGAGGCTGTCTTTTCTCCATTGTATATTCTTGCCTCCTTTGTCATAGAGTTGACCATATGTGCGTGGGTTTGTCTCTGGGCTTTCTATCCTGTCCCATTGATCTATATTTCTGTTTTTGTGCCAGTACCATACTGTCTTGATTACTGTAGCTTTGTAGTATACTCCGAAGTCCGGAAGCCTCCTTCCTCCAGCTCCGTTTTTCTTTCTCAAGATTGCTTTGGCTATTCGGGGTCTTTTGTGTTTCCATACAAATTGTGAAATTTTTTGTTCTAGTTCTGTGAAAAATGCCATTGGTAGTTTGATAGGGATTGCATTGAATCTGTAGATTGCTTTGGGTAGTAGAGTCATTTTCACAATGTTCATTCTTCCAGTCCAAGAACATGGTATATCTCTCCATCTGTTTGTATCATCTTTAATTTCTTTCATCAGTGTCTTAGAGTTTTCTGCATACTTTGTCTCCTTAGGTAGTTTTATTCCTAGGTATTTTATTCTTTTTGTTGCAGTGGTAAATGGGAGTGCTTCCTTAATTCCTCTTTCAGATTTTTCATCATCAGTGTATAGGAACGCAAGAGATTTCTGTGCATTAATTTTGTATCCTGCTACTTTACCAAATTCATTGATTAGCTCTAGTAGTTTTCTGGTGGCATTTACTCATCTTAAATGAGTAAATACAGGAAAAACAACTAGAACAGCACCTGGCACAGAAAGCTCCCATATGGTCCTCACTGTTTACCCCTCCACTTTCACTGACAAGTGTCTTAATAGAGGTCTCTACTCACAGCTCATCACTCCTTATTCAGAGCCTTGTAAGCTGGCTCCCCTCCCACCATCCACTGACATGGGATGTCACCAGGGCAGCCTTTTAACTTTAACCCTCCTCAGTCTCCCCTTCTAGAAATTCTCTGGGCATTTCAAGAAATGTACTTGCTAGGTTTTCCTACCACTGCCGTTATTTCTATCCTAATTGTGCTTCCCCCAAAGATTGGTCTTTGACCCTCTACACACTCAATATGCTGATGCCCACTCTTATAATTTCATCCTCTTCCAGAGATTCAACTGAACTCTCTGTGAAGAGAATGCCAATATCTTCATCTCCTGCCCATTCTCTCCACATTTCCAACTTCCTGTGGGTCATTCTGAGGTGGGGGGTCTCACTGGGACCTCAAACCCAACACACTGGGACCCTAGAGCCATGCAGTCCTCTTCCTGACCTCTGTATTTCAATGAACAGCTCAGACTCCCTGTCAACCTGACTCAAAGTCTCAGGGCACACTATCTGAGGCACATCCAGGCAATGACTAGTCCTCCTGACTCTTCCATGCCTCTCCCTCCAGACCTGCCTCTCTATCCCACTTCCCACGTTCATTACTGTCTCATGTCAAGACCACAGTCAGAGCCACTTACTCTGTCATAACACCAGATTCTTGCACATGAAATCCATCCTGTTCACCACCCAAATAACCTTTCATGCATGCATTCATCCTGTCACCCTCCTTCTCTGAACTCTAAACGACCTCCCACTACTTAACTAATGTCTTTAGGAATGTCATTTTAGGTTATTTAGTGTTTTCAAACCAGGGTCCATGAACTCTCCACAGGGATTTTTAAGTTGTTTTCATTTTTCATTTAAAAGTCAATTTAATCATTTAAAAATGAATATGTGCATACCATGGACCAAATTTTGCCACTTAATTTTAGTGCCTGAGTTTGCTTTTGTGTTTCCATCAAGTTGCCCCCAGTTGATACACTTAATGAGAAGAGGAGAGAGAGGGGAATGTCAAGGTGCAAACAAAGGTGCAAACAAACAAAGATCCAATAATCTCACCTGAGGGAGCATTAACAGAGATTTCAGAGTGGGTTGAACAGAGAGAGGTGGTGGCACAGCAGAGTTACCATAAATACTGTAAATACTGAGCTCAGTGCAAAGAACCTTCACTGCTGCAGCCAGGACCGCGTTGCATTACAAGCAGTGACTGCATTTCAGCAGAATAACAAAGCCCATCACCTTAAATTAATGTGGTGAATTTGTGGTTGTTTCTCTTCTCAGTGTTTTAAATTTCATTTACAAATTTGATTTGATTTTTACGGCTATTTGGAAAATAAGGTGTCTATAGTTAGTTACATTTTATGTTGGAACATACTTAGGTATCCTTATAATAAAAATAATTTAAATCCATTTTAGAGGCTCATAATTATTACTTCTTTTTACAGGGGTTCACATTGCTGGAGTCTGAGAAACCATGACACTGTGTTTCAAAGCATGAGCTTGTGTCATTCCTGGATTGGCATCCTAGGCACATCCATTTCTGGCTGTGAGGCAAACAGCAAGTTTCCTCATCTGTAAGATGGGGAAATGACAGTACCTTCCTCATAGAGTCCCAATTAAGTAAAATGATGTATGTCGAGGGCCAAGAGCAGCTGACAAATGATAAGTGCAAAATAAATGTTAGCTGCAAGTATCACCATTATTCTTTGGTTTCTAAGTCATAGCCAAGATTCTTAAATCAAGAAAAGTTTGAAAGGAAGCGAAAAGGAGAGGAAAGATTCGGCAGACAGAAAAATAATCATGGTCACTCTTCCCTTTTCGACCAAAACAAAACATGTTTAAAGGTGAGCAGGAAGGCGGCTGGGAGAGTGCTAGGTGAACACAGTATATTCTGCCAGGATCCTACCGTCTCCATAGGGGGGTTCCTCATCCAGGGGGGAAGGGATAGAGAACCACACACCCCAAACTGCAGACTTCAAGTTTCTGAGAAGGCCATCGGCTATGACATGGAATTTTATTTCTGTGAAGTCAGGGGACAGGACAGCTGGCATACACAGACTCCCCCAAAGCATAGCTAGCATTCAGGAACACTGATTTGTTATTTTATGCATGTATGCATTAACTTATACTTATGGGAAATGTACATTTTCTATTTGCAGTTGTGATATAAATTCTTTTAAAATAAATGAAAATAAATCTTAAAGAGTCAGTTTTAATATTAAGTACATAATAATATAGGTGATACACAAATGAAAGAGAAAGCAAATGAAGAAAAATTGGGAAACCTGTGTTTTGTTTTGTTTTTTTAATCTCTCTGGATCACATTTCCTCCATCCATCTCTATGCAAAAGCAATAAGGATCCACAAGAGGGCACCCCAACAAGGTGAGTCCACAAGTATTTACCCTGACTCTGAAAATAAATTTGATGCGCTTACCCTTTCTACTCACTCCTTCCATAGCCCTGCACCCCCAACCTTTATAGGCAACAATAGGTTTCATTAAAAACTGGCACAGTTGCTCACCTATGGTGATCTGGCTGACACAACTGTAGTAGCTGCCCGTCGTTGCGGAGGAAAGGTTATAACTCCCACTGCTTATATCTTTGTCTGTTTAAGAAAACAAAAGAGGAGAAGGTTAATTACATCCTGGTAAACACCATGACCACAAAGTATATGACTGCTGGTAAATAAACCAGCTGTCTGTGTCTGAGTATCTCATACTTATTCATTGGTTCATTCATTGACATTTAGGGAATGCTAAGTGCATTGAAACATTTCAACAAACAACCCAGACTGTCACACAGGCAATTTCAGTTTGGTGTCACTTTATTATAATGGGGGGTGGGTGCTGGGGGAGGGTTACAGGGGAAGGTGAGAAAACACCTGACCCAGACTAGAGGGTATCAGGTAAGGCTTCCTGGGGGAAGTGAACTAGGCAAAAGGGGGGTGAATTGAGGGGAAGGATCCAGGCAGAGTGCTATCATCTTGTCTGGAGACTCGGAAGCCTCTGCTTCACGAGTTAGCAGCTGAACACAGTACAAGAGAGGTGCACAGCCGCTGGACTACGAGGGGTCTTATAAACCACGTGAACAAGTTTGGATGTTGCCAAGAGAGCAGGATCCCATTTTCATTTCAGAAAGATCACTTTGAGGCAGCAAGGAGAACAGTCAGGAGGAGGATGAAAGGAGAGGCAGAAAGACTCCTTTATGAGGCCACTGCAGTCATCCTGATGAGAGATGGTGGTGGCCAAACCATGGGAGGAGCAGCCGTGGAGACAGAGAAGTGGGGGCAATTCCCTGCAAGGCTTTTCTGTTCAGCAGCCAGCTGAACTGCAGTCCTCACTACCGTGAGCAGACCATGTTCCCAACAGAGGGGCAAAGACACCAAAACCTCCCATTCACACGGCACCCTAGCATTTTCAGCCACATCGTCTCATGCACGGCATGAAATAGGGCACGCGTCACCCCACGTCTCTGGTGGAAAAGCTGAGGCTCCAGGCAGCCGAGCACCTTGCCCGAGGTCACACGACAGCATGTGGCAGAACAGAGCTCAAATTGAGATCAGAACTGCTTCAAATTGTTTATGAAGAAGGCAGGGCATACGTGATTTAAAATATCAAAATAAATACATATTGTTTAATATAAAACGCTACAGTTTACACAGAGTTACTATAAGAATGGCTGCGAAACTGACCTGAAGGAAATATTTGAATATTACATGTTATGGGATACCAGGAAAACTTTGAAACTCTGATCTATAATGATGAAAATTAGAAATCCGAGGGAAAGAAATAATCAAGAATGTCAAACGTAGTCAAAGAGAAAGGGTTTCTAGAAACGTACTGAGTCATATTTTATTGAGAGAGCAATGCGGATTTTTAGAGAAGATGGCTTTGCAGATGAACATTCTAGGAGGAAAGAACAGCAGGTACCTGGACAGAGAGGGCAGGAAATGGGAGTCATCCGCCGGGGTGTCCGGATATGCTTGTGGTTTGAAAGCAGCTAGAAAGTATTGACAAACGCAGGTAGTGAGCCAGAGGGCGGGGAAGTAGTGGGAGCCCTTCAGAGGCCACATCAAGGCCACTGTAGGTCCACAAACAGGGAGGTAACAAAATATTTTAAGACTATTTTTATTGTGGGGAAAATTAATTCGAGCAAGTGCACGTGGCCAACTTCTCCTCTAAGAAATATTCCCAGACCATCCCCCCTCTCTAGGGGGCTTCCGGGAACAGTAGACACACCTCCAACAGCACTGTGCATGTGAGATTGCACTCGTTTTATGGGTATCCCAAACCATGTGCTTGTCAAGGGCAGGTCCACACGTTTTTCAGTTTGTTATCTCCAGAGCTTAGTGTTTTGCCTGGCATAAGGTGAATCCTCAATATATGTTCGTTGGTTGAAAGAACAAAGGAATGCATGAAATTAAAGAAAGGATAACAAAGGACCACTTCCCCTTCCTATTAGTTATAACTTCAGTAGAGGTTGCCGTGATCAAAAAGAAGGAGCACAGGGCTTAGAGTCAGCACACCTAGGGTTTGAAGTCCCAGCTTTGCTGCACATGAACTCATTGAACTCGGTCAAGCTGTTGACTTCCTTTAGTATTGGTCTTTCCATCTGAAAATGGTGACAATAATGCTTATCTCACCTTTTCTGGGCTAGGGGTTGGGAGGTGGAAGAGGATGAGGCATGGCTAATAAAAATAAGTCAGCTTCACAAAATGTTAGCAAGTCATTCCATATATATCTGTGGAATCAGCTGAATCAACAAAACCCAGACCTAAAACATATCAAACTACTCTAAACTTGTCATTCCTAATTTTTTTTTTAACCCTTCACTAATGATCTGTCCTTAAAAGATTTTGGAAGGGAGGAGACCTCCCAGGGACAATGTCAATGGCATCAAAGGGGGGAGGAGGGTGAAGGGAGAGATTCAATAGCCACAGAAATGCTTCTGAATGGAGAGAAAAGGAATGAAGAAGAAAAGCACATTGAGAAATCAGTAATCAATAAAGAAGCAGAATGCTTGAGTTAGGAATGAATGCTTGGGAAGAGGCTGTGCGTACATTTGAACAGGAAAAACTACTGAAATTTGACTTGAATCTGAATGGTAAAACTAGGGTATATTTTGGGTGGCAATATTTTGAAAAGACTCAAAGAGCAGAAGTACAAAAACCTGTGGCAGTTTTGGTACAAAGTGACTCTGTAAAGGAAGGTGTTTTCCTATATAACAATTAAAACAAAAATGTTAGATTTTTGTGGGAGGGCTTGACTATCCATTTAATCCTTGAGGAACCAACTGTAGTTAAAAAAACAAAATCAGGTACCTAGTGGAAGAACTTGAGACTATGAATGAGGTTAATAAACTTTGTGGGTTCTGGAGTCAGTATCCAGATTAGATACCTGGTTCCAACCCTTGGGCACAATACTTTATCTCTACGGGGCTCTGTTTCCTTGTATGTACAATGCAAATAATAAAGGCACTTACTTTATAAAGTAGTACATAGAAAGTGTCCAATTAGTGTTAGCTATTATTTTTATTTTATACTTAAAAAGAACAAAGGTACCCATAAAATAGAATACCATATAGCAAAGGAAAAGAATGAAGCAAAGCTACACAAAATACTATCAATGGATCTCATAAACATAATGTTTAATGAAAGAAGCAACACCCAAATGGTATATGATTATATTTATGAAAATTTCAACAACAAAACTAAATTGTATTGTTTATAGATGCATATATAAATGGTAAAACAGTAAAGAAAAGTAACAAAATAATTAGCACAAAAGTCAGCATGGTGATTACATCTGGTGAGGAAGAAAGCGGTTTGAAATTGTGAAGAAGTACAGGGAGTGGGGGTAGGTTCTATGGTGCTGGGAATGTTCTATCCTTGACCTAGGTGGTGGTAACACAGTATTCATTTTATAACTATTTGTTAAATTATAAATTTGTCTTGCCCACCTGTCTGTATGGACAATAGCTTTTTTAAAGAAGCAAAGGGGGCAGAAATCACAGTAGGACAAATTAGGAATGCAAATTCTGCAAAAAATGTCTAAAAAAATGAGATGGTGGTGGATTCATACAACAATAGTCACTGAGTACTTACTCCTTGCCAGGCACTATGCTAAATATTCATTACTTCATTTACATCATTATTTCATTTGTGCTCCAAAACAACTCTTTTAAGGTAGGTGTGATTATCCCACTATCCAGATGAGGAACTAGAGGCTCACAAAATCAGGGAACTTGCCCAGAGTCACACTTCAGGGATGTCACAAAGCTGGAATTAAAACCTAGGTTTGTCTTACACTAGACCAATATTTGAGAACAATGGCAAAGACAGAGGAGGACAGATTAACATCATAAGCTGTGTTAGGTGGATTCCTGTTGTATCTGGTGCTACATCTTTGACAGTCATTTATTTGATGAGGGAATGAGATAGACATCATCTCGGGGATTCTGTTTTCAGAGGCCCACTTAAACAGAAACATGTGACAAAATTAACCCAATTTTCTTTGTCTCAAATTATTTTGGGTATACTTATAAACAGTATGGTCTTATAACCAAATAATCAGGCCCATCTCAACATTCAACCTATCTTTCATCTTAACCACAGCAAAAAAAGCAGGTACCATGCCTATTTTCATTTTCCCACCGAATGCAGAATTCTGGTAGATACGTAGGCAAAACTAAACAAAAACTGTCACTATAAAATGATAATTATAATATCTAATTTGGGAAATTTTTTAAAAGAAATATAACTAAAATGCAAAATAATCATAGTATACAAAGCCATGAGCTGGGTGCTCAAAATCAAAGTATTATTCAGGGGAGAGGTTAACATATTAAATTTAGAGTTAGTGAAACAAAATGTAATGAATATGTGTAGAATTTGTTAGGTAAGATTTAACCATAAGTAGAAGGGTAATTATTAAAATAACAGAAATAAACTATATTTCCAAACCAGTTTGCTGTGCTGAAGGGGGTGGGAGACAGATGGTGGGGAAGAACAGGAGAAGAAATTTAACAAAAAAATTCTACTTAGATAAGAGAAATAAATGAGAAAGCATAGGAAAAAAACAAGACAAAGAGAAAATCTGAAGTAAAATGGTAGAATTAAGTTCAATTTCACTAGTAGTAACAATACATGTAAATGGTCTAAATTTGTTATTTAAGAGATTGTGAGATGGATTTAGAAAGCAAGAAGAAAATCAACTAAATGCTATTTATAAGAGAAACACTTAAAACATAAGGACACAGAAATGTTGAAAGTAAAAGATATAAAAAGATATAGCAAGCATTAATCAAAATAAAGCTAGAGTAGCTATGTTAGTTTTAGATGAAAAAGGCTTTAAGACAAAAAGCAATTATTAAGGATAAAGACAGTCAATAAATAATGATAAAAGGTTCAGGTCTGATTCTTCAGGAAGATATTAAAAAATGTTACATCTGAGTTATTTGAGATAAAATAACCTCAAAATATATGAAGCAAAAATTAATAGAGCTACAAGGAGAAACTGACAAATCCATCATCAGAGGGGGAGATTTTAACACAATAACTGATTGGTTGAGCAAGAAATGTTTGGAAAAATACGGAAAATTTGAGAC